TTTATACCATTTAGACAGGAAGCCAGTCCCTCCCTGGCTTTGAAATTTGTTTCATTGCCTGCGTGTAATGATTGGAAAAGAGAGTTTAAAGCAATCACTGTTTTCAAAGTTTGCCTAATATTTGTTGCAAAATGTCAGGTTCCTTGACAAAACAGTAAAAAGATAAAATAAAGTTTCCCTTTTGTTTTTCATGAAAGTAAAAACTACTTATATTTATAACTACATTCTAAGTCCAACAAAATGGATTAAGATTTCTGCCAAATGTTTCGTAACATTTTTTTTTCTAGAGTTAGCAAGAGCAATACATTACTTTCACATTAAAAATTCTTCATAATGTTAGGCAAGTTTATGGAGAATTTAATATCTTTGTTTTACATTTTAGTTAATTGAAGCTAAACATCACATGAACCAGAATTAAGATTAGGATTCAAGTTTTCTGACTCTGGCTGTTTCCATGCATGGCCACCCCCCCAGAAACTAGACATACTTTCTTTAATCTTTTGATAATGTTTTCTCAAACTGGAAGGTTTACTTGAAGATTATAATGCAGCATTTCTTACACTGACATTGAGCTATCACCTTAAAAGCCAAGTAAAATTCATTTTAGCAAAAGATGAGATTTAGTATGATAAAAAATGTACCTGAATTGTGGATTAAAATGGAGAGGAAATTTTACTCTTGCTTAGAAGATGAAGCTACCAAGAATAAAATCTCAGTCTATCATAGAATATGTGGTCATGTGTATATTAAAGAAGGATTCTACACACTATTTCATTTTTTTCATTTTTCTTTCCACTGTTTTTTTTTTTTTTACTTTTAAATGAAATCTAATTACTAAACCATAGTCTAAAGGAACGATCAGGTATTAACTTTTCAATGTCTTAACCTGAGAGTGGGATTATCTCATTTCTACACAAAATAAAAGGAAACATGTTACAGAAAGATTTTTTTTTGCAGTATGTTCTGTGTCAGGCTTTACATTTACATGTAAATTTACCTTAAGTTAAAATTCTCAATATGCATTTTAAAATTGTGTAACTACAGCCATGTTAATTTGTCCTAGATCGACCTACAGTCAGCAAACTGCCCAGTAAGTCAGGGAAGCGCTGTGACACTGCAGCTCGGACATACGCTTGCTGCCTTACCCCACGCAGCTCACCAAAATATATGGCAGAAGGGCATGTTTGCAGCTGACTCATTCTGATGTCTGGTGATCACCATCAGCCATTGAAACCATAGAAACGAACACCCCCCTCCTAGGAATTATCACAAGGGTGACTTTTGTTTGGTGAAACGTGCTCACGGAAGCTTTATGGGGTGTCTAACTTGAAGTCCCCGCAGTGAGGTCTGCAGAGGAATGTCTGTGCTGAACCCACACCACACAAGTCAAATGCAGAGCCAATGACCGGATATGAGCGCTGCAATTGAAAGTTATGTAAGAGAACCGAGGACATCGGGAAAGCTGATCAAATTATAATATTTATCTGTACGATGAGAAAAAATGTCAGCTCACGTCCTTTTCTGCTTTAGAGTGCGCCTTTCTCTGGTTGGCTGTAGCGTTTTGGGGAGACAACAGAATGGGAAATTCGGGGGTGTGATCAGTCTTGGAAATAATAGCTGCAGTAAACATTTTAATCACTGCCAGGTCATTTAAAAGGAAGATGCTTAGGTGGGCACTGGCCCGGCGTGGGCCAGCAAGCTTTAGAGGAGAAAAAGACAAAAGATGCTGTAACTTTCAGGTTGAGAGAAATTTTTCCTTCCTAACAATGAAAAATAAAGAAAGGTCTCGGTGCGGCGGCGAGGCGGGCGGCGAGAGCGCGGACCTGCGGTTGGTCGGCGCCAAGGGACCTTTCCCGTAGAAAGAAGCGCTGAGCTTCCATTCACCTAAACCTCAGGCGTCAGCGTCTGAGGTGGCGGTGGGAAACCAAGAGTCCTCGAGAGGACCTGACAGGCAAGCTCTCTCCTCGCGCAGCGTCCCAGCTGCGGCTCCGAGTTCCATCTCCCCTGCTTCTTGCAGCTCCCTGGCCCCGGGCTCACCATCTCTCCCACCTGGTCCCTTGGGTGGTGGACCTGGGCTCACCAGGACCCCTCCAGCCCTGCGCCCGGCGGCGAGCACAGCCTGCGCAGCGTCGGCCCGGGACGGCGAACGTGCGCCTAACTTGGCGACAGCCGGGGTCTCAGAAGCCCAGCAACGCCAGAAACGAGGCTCTCTCGGGGCGCAAGCACCCCCTGCCAGATACGCTCACGCGGTACAGGCTCAGCCCGGAGCTCTGGTTAACTCGACTCCAACTGGCCTGGAGGAAAATACAGGGCGCGGGGCAGTGGTCCCTCCAGCCCAAGCACGTGCGGTGCAATTCCCCGCGCTCGCGCCGGCTAAGACGCGGGATTTGCACCAAAGCCTCCCCGCTCCCAGCGCCGGAGCCAGGCGCCACTTGCGTCTCCAATTTCGCCCCTGAGAGGGGAGGAAAGAGCCCCTTTCGCTCCGCGCCGGCGAGGCAGGGGGATTAGCAGCCCGGGCCTCCCGGGGCGGGCGCGGCGAGGCCGGGGCATCCCCCGGGGCGCCGGCGGCGGGGCTCGGCCGCGAGGGTTAACAGCGGGCGCAGCCGGGCGGCGCGGAGGCTTCCTCTCCCGCCCGGGAACGTGGATGTCGCGCCCGCAGGATGTTCGCCGGCTGGGCCGGGCAGTCAGGAAACATGAGAAGACCTCGCCATTCCTGTTCCCGGGCCACGCGCGCCTGTCTGGGTAAATAAAGCCGAGACGCCGGCGGCGGCGGCGGGGAGCGCGCCGGAGCCCGCGCAGAGAACATGCGGCGGGGATGGGAGCGCGCGTAGCCTCGACGCGGGAGAGCCTGCCCCCGCCGCCGGCCGCCGGCCCCAGCGCGCCAGGTACGGCCTCGAGTCCGGCCGCCCGCGGGGGCCGCCCCGGCCTCCGAGTCGCTCCCTCCCCCGGCCCTGGACTCCCCGGCGCTCCCGCCCTCCCCCCACGTCCCTCCGAGCGCCGCGGGGACGCGCCCCGGGAGCGGCCGGCCGGGGGTGGAGGGTCCGAGGCCAGCCCGGGGTCCCACCTGGCGGCGCCTCCTTGGCTTTAAAATTGTTCGCGGGCGCTGGGCGGGGCCGCCCCGCGGGGGGTGAGCTCCCCGGGCGGCGGCTGGGAATCCACCAGGGTAAGTGGGGCGCTCTGAAGGCCAGAAGAGGCGCTCGGGACCCGGCCCGCGCGGCTCTCACACCCGCGGACCCCTCTCGACGCGGCGGGGTTCTCGGGCCCGGGTCTCCTTCCCCACGCGCCCGCGCTCGCTCTCGCGGCGCGGGCTGGGGGCCGCGGGGAAGGGCCGGGTCTGGCACAGCTCGGCGCAGACCCTCTGGACCAGAACCACGCCATTGCTTTCCCGAGGACAGGGCGGGCGTGGGAGGAGGCGGCGGGGCTGGGCGAGGGTGTGATTACAAGTGGAGCAGCGTGAACGCAGATCACCAGGCGCACTGATTGGCAAAGTCCAGGCGACTGGAACGCGGGCTGTGAGCACGGAAATCGGCTTGCACACTTATCGCCGGGCGCTGTGCACACCCCGACACGTACCTGTCTGCGCGGGGGGACGCAGCCTGCCGCGCGCCGGCGGCGGCAGAGGTCTTACTGCCCCTCGGCGCCAGCGCGGACGGTAGACGGCGCGGGGTCGCCGTGGCCACGGCCCCGAATGTCGCGCGTGGCCGCGGCTGTGCTCGGGGGCGGGGCGGGGGGCGTCGGCGCGTGTGGGCGCGGGGCGAGGCTGAGCATCTGTGTGTTTGGGGGGGGCAGCCCACACTGTAGTGGGACGGGGCGAGGGGGGCTGGCGGCGAAGCGGAGGCGACTGAGCAGGAAAGGTAGCGGCCCCGGGGCGCGAGGCGCGCAGATGGGGCGGGCTGGGCGGTCACTCGGCTCCCGCGCCGCGGCGCGTCCTGGCCCCCAGATGCCCGCGCGCGGCGGGCGGAGGCTCCCGGTGGCCGCGACCAGGGAGGTGAGCTTGGCGACTTGCCCTGACGGCGGCAACCGCAGGCCGGGTGGTGCGCGCACGGGGGTGCCTCCTTCCCCTGTGACACCTTTGTAGCCTCGAAAGGGCTGCTCGACACCCCCAGAGGGGGGCAGCGTGAAAGGGCTCCCAGCTCGCGGCGGGCGCCCGCACCGCGGGAGAGCGCCCTCCGGACGGGGCCCGCGGGCCTGGACGCCGGGTGCTCTGGTTCAGGGACCCCGCGCGTCCCGGAGCGGGCGCGGCGCGAGGAGGGCCAGGAACACCTAGGGGACAGGGGCGAATGTGGTGCTTTTGTCCCTGCCGCCACGCAACTTTTTAGCTCTGGAATCCGCTAACTTGCCCTGCGCTTGCCCGAGCCCAAGGGAGGCTGCTCGGAATGAGGACGCAGGGGCTTCAGCCAAACCACCCAGGATCTAGAAAACATGAAAATCCCCGAAATCCCGGTATAGCCTGGGACTCATTAACTAGGGCTTGCGGATGCGGCTGTTCAGATCATCCAGTTTTTTCCCTTCTTTCAACCCCTCCTTACGACCCGAGCGGGAGCTCGGAGGGCGTTAGTCTTCAGTTGCCCTTGAAGAGCCGCGCGTGGCCGCGCACCTCTCCGGTTGCGCTGGCCGGTGCGTTTCTTCCAGATTAAAACGGAGACAGGGAGACCCGTTTAGGAATCCCTTTCCTTTGCCTCAGCGGGTAATTGCTCCTGGTCGAGTTCCTGGGGGGACTCTGTCGCCGCGGCCCGAAGATGTCTGGGGCGCGCCCCGGGAGCGTGCGGGAGTGGGGAGGGCCGCGGGGGGCCGGGTGGGGGGCGGCGGCTCCCTCCTGCAGGTGCGGTGGCGCCGCCCCGCCCGTGGGCTCCGGCACTCGGCGCCTCAGCCCAATTCCGACCCGAGCCGCGCCAGGGGCGAGCGCTCTCAGCGAGTAACGTGATGCACCTTCGTCTCCTAGACCCCGAGCCCCGCGGAGCTCCAGGCGGCCCGGCTCCGAGGCGCTGCGGCCGCGCCGCGCGCCCCTGCCCGCCCGCACCATGAACACCATCGTCTTCAACAAGCTCAGCGGCGCGGTGCTTTTTGAGGACCACGGCGCTCCGGAGCGGGAGCGGGGCGGCAGGCCCTACGGCGGCGTGCTGGACAGTCCCCACGCCCGCCCCGAGGTGGGCATTCCGGACGGCCCGCCCCTCAAGGACAACCTCGGCCTGAGACACCGGAGGACCGGGTACGCGCACCCTCCCGGGGCCCCTACCCCCTGCGCCGGAGGAGGGGTCGGTGAGCCGCTCGGCCTGCGGGCGGCAGCCGGAGTGCGGATTTGCTGCCCGGAGTTCCCGAGAGGGCAGGTCCCCGCCTCCTGGACACGGGCATCCTCATTTTAAGTTATTAGTTCTTCCAAAAATGGGGGGTGGGTGGGGGAGCGGGAGTCGACTGGGCAGAGGCTTGATGAAAACTGAGGTCACGAGGAACTGTCCCGGGGTCCTCCGGCATGTGGACCTCAGGGCGAGGGTCTCGCGCCCCTCCCGGGAGCGCGGGTGCGGACGCACAGCCGAGGATGGGTGCGTAGGAACCGGGCAGGGCCGAGCAGTCGGGGATTCCCGGGTCGGGCCAGCCCCCTGGGCGGCCTCTCTTCGGTCACTGCAGCGCCTCGCCGAGGCCTCCAGACTGGCCTTGCCGCGGCCAAAGTGGTCGGCCCTGCGCTGGGTGCCCTGGAGGCGCCAGCGGCTCGGACCCGGGAGGGCAGTGGGGAGAGCGCGCGGCCCCTGGGGCGGGGGGGCGGGGTGAGCGGCTGGGGGGGCGGGGCGGGAGCCCGCGGGTGGGCCGCTGCTGGAGCTGCGGGTGCGGGGGGCTGTCTCCAGCCAGGCCCCGTCCCCGCGCCCGCTGCGGGGGGAGCCGTCCCGGCGGGCTCCACCTGAGGGATTGCATCAGCTGCTTGTTCCGCGGCGCGGCTGGTTAGTGAACTAGAGATTGGATTTCGTCAAAATGTTACTACCAGTCCTTTTGGATGGAATTGTGTTTCAAAGTGTTTAAAGAGGCAAAAGCCCTGGAGGCTGCGACGCAGGCGCGCGGGGCTCCTGGAGCGGCCGCGCGGCGACACCTCCCGGAGCCTCCGGGGAGCGCAGCGCGCGACGCCGACGCCTGGCGGCTGCTCGGCCCGGCCCCTTCCTCCCGAGATAAGGCTTTGCTGAGTTACTTCACTTGATGGGACGGAGCTTTCCAGACTTTTAAACACTCCCTTATGTTGAGAAAGGGCCCCTGGAGTGGTTTTTGGCTTCTGCCTCTTTGCTCCATAAACCGCTCCTTTGGAAAGTGTCCCCTTTGCCCAGCGGATCTAAGCAAACTGGGGTGAGCTCGAAGAGCCCCACGGCTGCGGGCGGCCATCACCCCTTGCTTTATCCTCGCCGCACAGGGCGAGACCCCCCTTCTGACCACAGGCTACGGGACGCCCCAAGAGCCAGGCGTGGATTCCCTAGAAGACAAGTCCAGGGCTGACCGGGGTTCCCGGGGCCAGAGTCCCTCCAGGGCGCGGCGCGGGCGAGCGGGGTGGGCAGCCCTGCCGCGCTCTCTGCAGCTTGAACATTTCCTACCAAATCAGACCCCATCCGTCTCCACCCAGACCTCTGACCTCTGGCTACTGCCAACGGGTCCTTGCGACACCCGGGCTATTTAAAGAGAGATGCCCAGGAAAGAATATTCCCCCCCCCCTCCCCAAATGTGTGTGGCTCCCATTCCTTGCCTCGCCCTAGCCTTGGGCGCGGGGTGGGGCCCAGGGCGGGGCTGGGGGCGCTGGGGGCGCTGGGTGCGGAGCACCGGCTCCTGGGCCCAGTGGCGCGTCCAGGCTTAGGGGGTCCGGGCGGGCAGCACCCACACGGGCTGCTCACCCGGGCCTCCGCCTCTCCCGCTGTCCCAGGGCCCGGCAGAACGGCGGGAAGGTGAGGCACAAGCGGCAGGCCCTACAGGACATGGCCAGGCCCCTCAAGCAGTGGCTTTACAAGCACCGTGACAACCCCTACCCCACCAAGACCGAGAAGATACTCTTGGCTCTGGGCTCGCAGATGACGCTAGTGCAGGTAATCCGGGCCCACCAAGGCCTTGATGGGTCGGGAGCGGGGCGGATTAGCCCAGCGGCTCATGGTGGTGTGGAACAGAGGGTGGCTGGTCCAGCTGAGGCATGAAGAAAGCTGGCACGGGTGCCAGGGTCTGTCGTGGGGCGTCTCTGGGCTTACTCCTCACCATGTCTGGTCCGAGGGGGACAGAAGGTTGTTTTGTTAGGGAGGTAGTGAAAAGTCAATGGCAGGGTTATAAGGTGTTGGAGAGTCTGGATCATACACAGATGGCACAGATAGGACCATGAGAAGTGATTTTCAAAGTTGAGAAGACATCCGAATTGCCCAGAGGATTTGGTAAAATCCAACTTGCTGGGCCCCATAGGGTTTCTCATTCAGTAGTAGGTCTGGGGTGGCGCTAGTAATTTGCATTTCTGACAAGTTCTCAAGGTGATGCTGACATGGCTGGCTTGAGACCACACTTTGAGGGCCAGCAGAATGGCACCCCACATGAGGGCTCCATATTAAAGGTCAAGTACAAGGTGACTTTCAATTTTTCCATGACTAACAGAACTAGAAGGTGGGTGGAAAGTCACTAGTGGGTTTGGGATATATTTTTTTTTTGTAATAATAAGAGACATTCTGGGAATTAGCTAGACTCCACGAAATGTTGTTGCTGGTAGCGTGTGTGAGATGTGAGATGGTTGTGTTATTTTGTCAGGTGTAGAGAAATAGTGCAAATTTGTTTCTTTTTAAGTGAGCATCACCACTTTACATTTCACTAGCTTCATCCATACATTGTCTTATTGGATGTTCACAATCATGGCATCTAGAAATGAAGAGAAAGTCAGGGATAGAGGTAGGCCTGGAAGTAATATAATTCCAGTCAAATACTCATTCTGTCACGCCACGTTTTTCTTTAATAAATATGACATAAACTTTTATATATGTAGACAGATCAAACTTATTCAGAGAGAGGAGGAACTGAATTAAGTCTCAGTTAAGTGAACTGAGACTCTCATATGTTATAGTAGCCCTACATCATCACATTTGTGAAATTTTGGTCATTCCATTAAATGTCTGGTAAGGAAAAATGCCCAAGTAAAAAACATATAACTATAGATAAAGTAAAAATGGCTTTCCAAAGTATTTAAAGTTGCCATTTAGGAATTATTGGAGATTTTGTCAAAGCATGAAAGTTGACATGTATTTAGTTTTATTAAAACTATAATATGTACTTGTCTGCTCATTTCAGAACACAGTTACAGAGAAAAACTTCTATTTTCTTTCATATAAACAGGCAATAGTATTAATAGTGCTTTGTTGTAGCTCGGGAGGGGAAAATTAATTTAGTATTCTTGGCTTAATATTTAAACTAGTTATTTAATAGAAAACTGAATTTTCAATGATTTACAAAAGTTAGTTTCTAAAAAATTTTCCAGTCAGAAAAACTTGACTTATGAAAATAAATACATGTTCAAATTTCAGTTTAAACAGATATGCTATTTATTTTAAAGTACGCTAATTTATGGAGCTGTTTTGTTATTTCATAATGATGTCAGCAATAAAACATTGAATTCTTCTGGTTGATTAAATATGGAAATAGTTCCATTGCTTACCATTTTCACATACACATTTAGAACATTTTTATTTATGAGAAGTTATATTTGTCAAGTGAAGAGACATTTAAATTTTGGGGTATAGTAGTTTGTTGAATTTCAGTATGACATTTAAAATACAGGATCAAATTATTGTTACCTGTAATTACAGTTAAAATACAAATAACTTTAATTTTTCCATTAAGATCTTGGTGAAGCTACATTTTTCCAATTTATGTGAAATTTTATTCATGTACTGAAAATTTTTCTTATTACATTTTCTTTCTCTTACATTATTCCTCAGGAAAATCCACAAAAGTATGTAATTTTAATGAGGCAAAGATAATTATAAAAAGTGATATGTTTTACGATTTCCTAATTTCCTTGTAAACAAAGTTGGTTTATGAAAGTTCAAAGTGATAAATGGAAAAAATTGCGAGTGTATGTGTGTGTGTGTGTGTGTAATCTAATTTGGGTGCAATTAATATTTTCAATTAGGCAAAATGGAATATCTAGGTAAGAAAAAATATGTTTAAATAAGTAAGTACATATATGCATATCTGTTTACTCATATATATTTATATATAGGGTATTTGTATAAGTCAAACAAACGTTAAACATCCAAACCAAATTCTTTATGTGAAACCAAATAAATTATGTAAGAAGAGAACCATAAAACTGTGATCTGAACAAAACTTCTGATTCCTGAAAAATTGGACCCCTACTTTATGAGTCAGGTTCTGCCAGTGAATAAATTTCTCCTGTACAGTCAGGCTTATTGAGAAGAGTGAGCTCGTCTTATTCATCTTCTTCCCCCATGTCACTCCAGTATAGTACTTTCCATATACTAAACCATCTACTAAACCTGTAAATCTACTAAACCTTCCATATACTAAATCTGTTTCTAGAGTAAATAAGCTCAAACCAGGGGAAACCACTATAATACAAAGCAGTTCTCCAAAACATCTTTATGAATTTCTTAGGCATTGAAGAGAATGTCTTAAAATCTAAGATATTCTAGTTTTAAAACCCATCTCAGATACATAGCAGGCAGCTCAGTATCTTTAATGCCATATGGTAGCTCTATAGAACAAGCAAAGTACACATCATTTTATTATTTTCACTGTATCTGGAAATACATCATATTTTTATGTTTGTGGAAAAATATAGTGTACCTTTGTTTCTGGCTCCAAACTCCAAACTCCTATTTTTTATTTATCGCAATATCTCCTATTTCTGTTCCTTATGGTTAATGTTAGCAAGCTCTCAACACAACTGCTTTATTCCTTAAATATAAGAATGTCTTGTGTTTTGATAATCTCTTTTACATTTGACATTTTCCTTTTGGTTGTGTGTGAAGCTGTCAAACTTCTCATAAGAAGTACTTTTGCCTTCTATTGCTACTCTTAAATTGATTAGGAAGGGTGTGAAATCTGGTCATCAATCTCCCTTGAAACCTAGAAGCAAAGGGCCAAAATTTTAGTGTAGGAAATGTGTTTCAGAAACTCTAAAGTATTTTTCTGATGAGAGAAGTTCTAAGGTCATTACTCAGCATCTACATTGAATTCATCCCTGAAAACTGAAGCAAAAAGAATTATTTCTCACTAGACTTGGCAACTTGTCTATATTTGCTATGTTTGACTCGCATTTGCATTATCAACCTGGAATTTTCCTGATGAGAGATAAGCATGCTTATAAAAATTAACAGGGAGATATGTGTGTGAGTGTGCGTGTGTGTGTGTGTGTATTTCAACCTTAACCAACCCAAATATTCCAATATATTTGGTTCCTATGATTGACCATTATTCAAATATTATCAACATAGACTCTGTATTCTCAAAATATAAGCAGTTTTATTGTGGAATGGTGAAGTAGTATGTGATTAGGATTTTGTAAAATTGTAAGATTTGGAGTTTACCAAGGAATAATTGCCTTGGAGAGTTTTATAAAAGAAGGGCAAGTGGGAACTCTATCTGGTTTCAAATATATATACCGTATGTATATATATTTAATTTCTGGATTTTAAAAGTGAAATGTCACATTAGGACCATTTCTTTCATGGTCACCACAGAGAATGCAGCACAAGTATAGTTTGAGACTGCATTTTAATGGTTGGGTGTTCATGCACCGCCCGCCTCCCCAGGCCTCGTAAAGATGTTTCAAATGCCTACATATGTCCATGCACATATGACTGAAACTGGAATATTTTGCCTGATATGAGTATTTCTGATGAGATATGTATGTAATTAGCAAATGCCAGGATATGGCAACTGTTAAATATTCAACAAAATCTCAGATTACTTCTTCATATTATTCCAGGTATTACACTTAATGGTGTGGAAATGTGGTGTTCAGTATTTCAGAGCAATAGTCCAGAATAAGCTTGTTAATTGTGTATGTTCAAAGGTGGAAAGATGCCAGTTAATCCCTTTGGGTTTACTATAATGATTGTTCTATCAATACGACGAAGTATGTAAACATGGCTGTTAGAGTAGGATGAAAATTTCCTAATTTTCTTATCCAGCTTCTAGATATTCTGTTCTCTAAGCTTTCGCTATAAAATACATGATTTTAAAGCTCTGAGTTTGACATTGAAAAAAATTGCAAAATAAAATGCATGCAAATTTGTTAATCAAATATTTGTATTCACAACTTATTGCAAATATCTATTAAGCAGCTTGGACTACATCCAGCTCTAACTTGTACTATAAATTTCTGGATATAAAGTCTTGGTAAATATATTAACAAATTGGATGGCAGTTGAGCTTATGAAATCAGTTTAGAAAGAGCCTATGTTAGACATCAGAAAACATTTCTTGAAAAATCATAGAATATGTAATTAATATACTGTGATAAGACTATGTGTGTAAACAATACAAAAAAGAATGTGACTCCTATATATGAAAAGCATGTTAATTCTCCATGACATATAATGACTCCCATTTTTTGTATGTTAGAATTATAGTATGTTAGTATTTTGGAAATTATAAGGTTATTATATTTTAGTAAAAGTTTTAAGAGGTGTGTGACAGTGATGACAAAAATTGAAGAAAATATGAATAAATAAATATATTCCATTCAAGATATTTTTGGGTTGGAAGAATTTATATTGCTAAAATGCCCATACTACCCAAAGCAATCTACAGATTCAGTGCAATCACTATCAAAATTCAATGGTGTTTTTCACAAAAATAAAACAAAAAATTCTAAAATTTGTATGAAACCATAAAAGACCCCAAATAGCCAGTGCAATCCTGAGAAAGAGCAAAGCTGGAGGCATCATGCTTCCTAATTTCAAACTTTATTATAAAGCTACAGTAATCAAAACCATATGGTTTGGCATAGGACAGATCAATACAGCCGAAGAGACAGCCAGAAATAAACCCACACATATATAATTAATTTATAACAAAGCAGTCAGAATATTTAAAGAGGAAAGGATAGTCAAGTCACATCAATACATGGTGTTGGGAAAATTGGACATCCACACACAAAGGAATGAATCTGGACTACTATCTTACACAAGATACAAACATTAACTTAAAATATTTGTCCTGAAAGTCAGATCCAAAACCAAAAATCTCTGAGAATAAAACATAAGCAATAAGCTCTTTGTCATCAGTCTTAGTGATGATTTTTTGGATTTGATACTAAAATCATCCCAAAAAACAGTTGGTCAACAAGCACATGAAAAATGCTCGTCATCACTTATTACCAGGGAAATACAAATGTTGTATAGCTGAAACCAATATAATATTATTTGTCAATTATATCTGAGTTTTCAAAAAAAGAATGTTCTAAAATCTCTACTTAGTAGTAATGAGAACTTAGATAGACATTTGGCAATAGAAAGAGGTTTGAAAAATGTAGTGAGGAAATGTATGTGGAGCATTTTGTGCTTTTATAATGGATGTCTCCCCAGACACTACAGTTAATTGTGTGTGGTTCTTCACAGCTAGTCTTTCTGTGTGTTCAGTTTATCTATTTCTATCACTTAATGCCAAGGCTTAAGCGCTCGTGTGTACATGTGTGTTTGTGTGTGTGTTATCTGTCAGTAGAGGTTGGAGAAGACAGAATATTAAATCACACTGAATCAATAATAATAGCAGAGCTTGACAGGAAGAGGGATTGATAAAGACTAAGACTTCTGAAATTCTTGGTGAAATATTAGTCATTGCACATAAATTTAAAAGGACAGTTATCATTGCTTAAGGCACTAAGGAGGTACTATTGAATATATGTATAACATATGATATGTCTTTGTATATGTGTGTATATTACATACACTTATAAATTAAAACGTATTTCACCCATGAGGACAAGGAGAAAATGCATTTTCCGTAAAGCAGAATTCACCGCAGGTCCATTCAATAATTAGGGCTTGAAAATGTGCAAAATTTGCATCTTTATAGTGCAAATGTAAAAGAAAAAGAAATTTCCCATGTGTACCTTGCACACAAACCATTATAGTAATATTGGGGTCATGTTCTAAAACATATTGGCAGAAAGACCTAATTCTCTTCCCACACTTTGTTCTTTTATAGCCAAATATTGGCCTTTCAGTATCTATATATATATACACAGTATACACACACACAACTATATGTATCCTGACAAAATAGCCTGTCTTAGAAAAAATATCCTTCAGTATCATTTAGCCTCTAGAAGTCCAACAGCACCTTAGAAAACAGTGGAAGTAACTTTCCTTTGAAGTTTTTGGTCCTTTACCCCTTTTTGCTCTGTCCACTGTCATATCTGTGCATTTGACACAGATCTGCGCTCCCTCTCCCTTAAGTCTGATACCATTTTTATTTTCTTGCTGTGTATCTCATCTGTATGCTTTCCTAGTGCCTTAATCTAAACTTCCACAGACCACACACATCATTTCACCTTTGGGCAGTTCTACTTTCTTCTTCAGAACGCCACTGTCCTTTTCATGGTTACACAGCTTTGATGATTTTGGGTCACTTTTAACTCTTTTCTCTTTCTCACCCACTGCAGAGTCTCTGAGATTTGACTTATATTTGTTTCCGTGACCTCTTTATTGGGAACATATTTCCCTACCCATTATACCTGACGTAGTCCTTCCAAGCCTAGCTTAACTTTCTGTGAAGTCTTAAGTCACATGTGAAAGTAACTGCTTCTTTTGGATTCCTGTATCATTTCATTTCAATGCCTCTTAAGCCATCTATCATATTCTTCCCTATAGCAGTTATTTATACTCTCCTACTTCTCATACCAGACTGAAAATTTAATGGTGAGTCTTCTTCATTATTTTTTTGTTCCCAGGATACAGCAAGTGCTCAATATTTGTAGTAAGTGCTGATTATGTTTGTTGAATAAATGAATGAGTGAATGGTATGAATGTTCAATTCTATTACTTTCTTCTGAGAATATATAATGAGTAGAGATATGGACAGAGGCTTAGGCCCTATCTGGGAAAATAATGCTATGATGCGTTACTTTTCTGTCTTGTTAATTGAAAAATTATACTTTTTTAGGTGTCAAATTGGTTTGCTAATGCAAGACGTCGTCTTAAGAATACTGTTCGACAGCCAGATTTAAGCTGGGCTTTAAGAATAAAGTTGTACAACAAGTATGTTCAAGGAAATGCTGAACGACTTAGTGTAAGCAGTGATGATTCATGTTCTGAAGGTGTGTTAACGTTTTAATCTTGCTTTCTTTGCTTTGCTTCTGTAATAGACTTGTTGGTTTTAAGGTTGATCTCACAAACTGTGATAATACCCTTGTAACTTTTTTATTGCATGAGGTAACTTCATTTTCCAGTACTGTCAATACCAACAAAATTATGGCTGCTTCCTCTTGTTTATAGATTTATTGTGTGTCAGAATAACAATTTCTGTGCAATTCATTAAAATTAAATCCCTTAGGGGGAGATTACATAGATTCCTGCTTTTCTCCTGCTTAAAAAATTAATCTTGAATATCAAGTAAATTTTATACATTTTAAATATTCTTTATATGTTTGTACACACACACATACATACTAATGATTAAGTATTACAATTTGTTGGTGGGGGGAAAGTACGTGTACATACTATCTAATCATATTTTTACCCCTTAGATGGAGAAAACCCTCCAAGAAACCACATAAATGAAGGGAGCTATAGTAATCCAGTTCACCATCCTGTGATTAAAAATGAGAGCTCAGTCATAAAAGCTGGAGTGAGGCTGGAGCCACGGGCCAATGAGGACTACGTGTCACCCCCAAAGTACAAGAGCAGTTTGTTGAACCGTTACCTTAACGACTCTCTAAGACACGTCATGGCTACAAACGCCGCCATGATGGGAAAGACAAGGCAAAGAAACCATTCGGGATCTTTTAGTTCCAATGAATTTGAGGAAGAATTGGTGTCTCCCTCGTCATCAGAAACTGAAGGCAACTTTGTCTATCGCACAGGTAAGTCTGTGTTTCTTGTGATATTTTGTTTCAAACAGACCCAAAACTGCCATAGAGGGGCTATATTTTAGCAGGTGTAAAGACAAAACTTTTATTACTTTTGCATCATCTTTCTTTTTGTTTTTAATTACCAGATATGCTCATTAGTAGGTGATGGTCTACTGGGGAATTTTCATCTTTTTTAATAAAGTAAGAATTTTTATTCTTAATAATAATTTTATTCTTAATGATAAACATTCTTAAAGGAGATATGTATTGGTCTTAATGAATAAATTACAATGGAGAAATATCCTGGATTTACCCAGCCATGCAAATACTTTTTATTCCATCTTTTTTCCTCAGTTATTTCATTGTTAGTAGTGGATAGGAAAGTGAGTGTATTTTGTGGAGGAAATTGCTTTGGGAATTTTCCTTTTATTCCTGGAAAGCAAAAGGAGGGCTGATAAATAACTTTGAAAATTTTACTTTTATACCAGAAATGGTGATTTGATTTCTACCTCTCCGAAACTTTCAAGTGGAACAATGAGTGTACTAAAATTTTCTATCTTCTTGACTTCAGTTCCCAGAGAACGTTGCTTATGAAAAATGAGCAAGTTGCTTCAGAACAACGGTTATGTGTGACCTATATCTGGGCTAGCTGGAGTCTGGTCCTAGATATGCCAAAAATTAGAGTTGGAAATGTGAGAGCTGGAAATAACTTCAGAAGGCATCTCATTCACCCATGTTCTGTCACAGATAAAAAACATATTTACTCTTCTATAGATCAGTCATGCCTTTGAGCTCCCACAAGTGGTAGGAGGAGCATAAACACTATAAAGACCATGGTTACTGTTTATATTACACCTACTGCCACCAGTCATTAATTGAGTGTTAGGATATGCTAGATCCGGTGCTAAATACTACACAAATGTTACTATATTTAGTCCTTATAATATCAGAGAGCTCAATATGTAAACAATAGTGTTTTACAAAGGAACTTAGATTTAGTCTGTTTAACGTATCTTCAGATTATGGAGCCAGAAGTCTGATTTTTGAAGTGTCTGTGCATGTGTACATGGAGACACATATTATCCACAAGGAGTCAGAGGAAATCTCAGTGCATTTTAAATAATTAAATCAAATTCATTTGCTGTTTGCATCTCTAATTCCAACAATGAAAACAGCTCCAAGCACTTAGGAATATAAAACGAGTCTTGTAAGTAGTAATAATTGGGTCTAGAAAGAAGTAAAAGAAGCAATAAAAGACTATTTAACCAATAACAAAATTATTAAAATATGTATTAACATTCTAACTAACGTTACCAGAGCAGGACTTGGAGGTAATTCAGAACTTTATGAAGGAAAATAAATCAAGCTATTCAGGTACATGTAATTGGAAATAGAATCAAAATAAAATAAAAAGATAAACTGGAATGCAAAAAAGGTAAAGAAGGAAAAAATATAGTAAGCTTAACAAGCAAAAATGAACACAGATTAAAGTTGGAAGTGAGAAAGGAGATATAGCAATACAAATTTACTAAAAAAAGTTTATTAAACTATGATGTATTATGTACAATTACTTGACAATGCTATGTGTGAAATATAGATTAAATCATATTCATTATGAGAACAGTGTTCAATGATTCCAAGTTTAGAAGACTTAAAGTGTTTAGCTAACCCAGTTCCCAAAACATACTTTGATAGATATATTGGATTTTCCTCTAAACTTTGAAGAAATAGTTCATTTCTACGCATTATATGTTTTTCAGAACATATAAAAACATGGGAAGTATCTTAGCTTTTAAAAATGTAAATGTTTTCTTAATCCCAACCAGATTAGGATACCATAGAAAATTATGCTTGAAATATGTATTGAATTTGGCATTAAATGACCAGTATTTTTATAAAAAATTTTATTGGTGATATTAATACTGATCATAAAACAATGTGAGAAATATTGATAATGTAATGTTACATGAAAAACTTCTAAAAAGTATGGAAACAACAATTATGAGGATACAAATGATAGAAACATAAAAACGATTTTTGGAAACAATTGCATTTAATTTTGATGAGGTGGCATATAAAGTTATCTTTTTTAAAGATGTCTTACAAATTTCCTTCTATTTCCAGTAAGACAAGATCATAGACCTTTGAAATGTATGAGTGTATGTCTTCTGAAAATGCATGCTTTTCAAAGGTGGCAAATATAAAATCAAAGAGAAAATAGCATGCTTGTATAGTTGATGCTTTTCAAAGTTAAATATCTTGGCTATTTATTTTTATTAAAACATTCCAAATGCACTTGGTCCGTATTATGGATTACTCACTTGCCAAGTTCTATTTTTAAATAAAAACCTTTTTTTTTTTTTAGTTGTGCAAGCCATGAGAAAGCAGCCTAGACACATAAACTTCTAGTTTTTCATGCATGTGTATAAACTTAAAAAGAACAGAATGAGTTTTTTGTTTTTGTGGATGGAGAATTAAGAAAGACTGGTGGTCTAAGATTGGCCTGCTAAATTTTAGAACTAAACAATAACTGGCTGTCTTGTGTGGGAATGGAATGGACTGTGTTGCTGCGATTGTAACTGGTTTACCACTCAGGCATAAATAGTAGAACAGGGGACTTCAGTAAATACTTTCTGAGCAACTGTGATGGTTTTCTCTGGCATACAGGCTTATTCTGAATTCCTTCAATTCCTTTTGGTTATATCTCTCTTTTCTCACCTAAATAGAAATAGTCTCAGTCTGCTATTAAACTCCACTCCCTTCCCCTGCCCCAAATGCATAGCAACAACAACATTTTAACTTCAAATTGTTTTTTAAGAATAGATCACCTTTCAAAAAAATATAGATCACCTTTAAGTACAATGTATTGGTTTATTTGTGCTAAGAAATGGTATCCATTTTCCATCCATTTTGTAAAAAAAGTTGTTATCTAGTGATACATTTTATTAAATATGGAATCAAAAAAATCAAAGGAAAAAGTTGGTGTGTGGAAGATTAATGTACGACTACATTTCATTTCAGATTTATGGATTCAAGGAAGGAGAAGTCTGGTTAGATTAATAAAGTAATAATTCTAATTGAAGATATTAGTAGATATCATCAAAGCAAATACAAACATGTTTTGACTGATTTTTACATATTTCCTTGTAATCCACAGTTTTCCACATCATTGCAGAATCATTTTAGACTCCCAATAAATATTGGAGATTATATTTCTGACACCAGCAATTAATTGGAATTGATCAAAATGATTAGGGTCATTGTTTCTAAATACATTAAGTAATCACCAAGAAAAGATGGTCATGAGTGTCGAATTATATTGTCTAAATTAAAATTACAGTTCACTGACAGTCTGCTTTCTGAGGTTTCAGAATAAGGACCCTGGCACACTACCCTCCTGTTGAATCAGTGCTCATATTCTCTAGATATTTGTGAAAAAACTATCTGCTGTCTGAACCACCTCACAGAAGGAGTCCTCATTGGAGCCTTTCCTGACTTGAATCAGCATTTGATTGACCCTTAAACCATGTCATCTTTTTTTTTAAATAAATTTTATTTTTATATTCCCCATACAATTGTAACCCCCTTATTTTGACCCCAATCCCTCCCCTCCCACCCTCTACCCCCCCATAGAGTGTCTCTGGTTCATAGTTTTTTGTTGATTTTGATTTTCACTTTCTTATAGTTATTCATTTTCCTGGTCCCTTATTTAAGTTTTCTAGATTCCTGCTATGAGTGAGACCATCCGGTATTTTTCTTTTTCTTTCTGGCTTATTTCGCTGAGCATGATCCCTTCCAGCGCCATCCATGTTGCTGCAAATTGCATGTGTTTATCTTTTTTGAATTCTGAGTAATATTCCATGGTATATATGTACCACATCTTCTTGATCCAGTCATCTATTTTTGGGCATTTGGGTTGTTTCCAAAGCTTAGCTATTGTAAATAGTGCTGCTATAAACATAGGGGTGCAGGTGCTCTTTGGAATTGATTCAAACCATGTCATCTTTACTGAAGGGAGAGAGTAGATGTTTTGACTGAATATGTCAGTGAGGGGAAACTCAGGCAAGTCTTGAAATGAAATGTGTAGATTTCCTCTCTTCTCTGCTTATATTGAGCACAAGTCCAGATTTTCTTCTTTCTTTTTATAACCCGCAAATGATCAACTTATAAGTAGCTAGTACATTTGAACAGTTGTTCTTGAGTCCCTGCATGCTGGGATATGATTCATAAATTTAACCTGCTCTCCAGATACTGGATTTTGAACCTTATCTTGTTAAATTGTCTAAAATCCCTGTTAATTGTACACAGCTGGTATACACAGCTGGTGTAACAAAAACATATACGTGGTTAGGACTCTTTTCTGTGTTTTTGTGAATGAATCAGACTAGCTCTTTCTCCACATGACTGAGGTATAAATATCTATGAAGAAATGCAGATGTTGATTAAGAGAAAAGAAGTCATTTATTTGGAACATAGGAGTCTTTGGGAGATAGAGATCATTTGATTGGCTTGCCACAGTAACTAGAGACTTTAGTTACTGGAGACTGAGAAACTAGGAAATAGAAAGTTTGGGAGGATGACAAAGAGTCCACGCCATTTCCAAATGTTTATCTTGGTTAATGAGGACCTCCTGGGGGCCTGTCTTTCTGTACACTCCTGTACTTTACAATTTTAGCTAGAATTATCAGTAGTATAAGCCCAGGTATGTTCATAAGTTCAATAAGCCATGGATTTGCCTGAGATGTAATCTTAATTTCTAGCATGGCTTCTTTGGAGAAATACACTCTCAATTCTTAAACTCTCAATTCACAAGCCCTGGCTGGGACAGAGTCCTTTTTTATACCAGGTGCTCTTTCTTGTATGCAGTCCACATACCAAATGTTTTGAAGAGCTGCTCTCTTCAGACCCTATTCTGGAATCATGGGGGTCCTGCATTGCTTGCTAGACCACTCATCCAAGAAACCATGCTTAGTGAAGCAGAAGAAAGTTTAAAGAGGTGTCATGGCACAATA